CAAATTAAACTCTTCCTTTCTAAAGTTGCTCTTGCCTGGTATTTTGTCATAGTGACTAAAACACTGGAAAGACTCCATTGTAGGCAGACATCTGGTGAGCCCTTCCACGGGGCTTACCGGCGAGCAACTCAGACGGAGAGCCAGGGCTGTCACGTGTTCAAGCCCTTCTCAGATCTGTAACTGGGCATTCTCAGTTTAGACCTTCAGTCCAGACCCCTGGAAGGCCTGGATGGGTGGCCTACCACCAGAGCCTCAGCTTCCTTCTCACCAAGTAGAGATATTATTGCACAAATCAATAATGTTTTCAAAATGCCTGGCAAAAGGATTGGCTTATCACATAGGGAAGTGACGACAGTCAACGGCTCCTTGGCCACAGGTGTGGCACAGAAACTCAGAATTCCAGCTGTGTCAGGGCTCTGACCTCGCATGAAGACAAGCTCTTCACTGCCACAGACTGCCACCTGCTGATCCCATGACAACCAGGATGACTTGCTCAGGAGGGCAGGGGGTCTGTGGGAAAAGGGTTATCTTAAGCCTGACAGCAAACGGTTTTAATCCCAGACTGGGCAAACAAGGGCAGGCGGATCTCTGTGGGTTTGAGGCCCGCATGGTCTACAGAGCTATACAAAGACACCTTGTCTGGGGGAGTATAACTGCTTTTAGCCCAGGACTAGCTGTATCAGTTACATCTTCCTGGTATTTGGGGACAAGGGTTATGTTTCTCAAAGTCACATGCACATAACTGTTAACAATCTTATGAAATGCAGATTCCAATCCAGTAGCTCTAACAAGACCCAAGACTGGACTTTCTAGCTAGCATCCCCTCCCAGCTGCTGCAGGATCAGGGATCACACTTTGAGTGGCAGCTGCCAGACGATGCTAGACAATTTCACTGTCAGTAAAGACATCAAACTGCATGGATGTGCACGTGTCCTCCTAGTTTCCATTAAGGATAGTACATCCTCTCATAGCACCTTTGTAAAAATGTATTTCTCTTTCTCTCTCTCTCTCTCTTTCTCTCTCTCTCTCTCTTTCTCTCTCTCTGTGTGTGTCTCTGTGTGTGTGTGTGTGTGTGTGTGTGTGTGTGTGTGTGTGTATGAGAGTGTGTGGTGTCTAAACTTGTGATTCTCCTGCCTCCTCCACCGCCCAGGCACAGGGACTAGAGGAGTACAGACCACTGTGCCCATCAGTTGTTTGTGAGTCACGTGGTGTGGGCACCGGGACTCAAACTTGATCATTTGGAAGGACAGCAGTGCTATTAAGCACTGAGCCACCCTTGCAGCTGCTCTTGCAGCGTTTCTGAGGATGGACGACGTCTGGCAGGGATGAGGTGCTCTGCAAACGGTAGCTGACCTGAAATACAAAGCTCCCAGATGCAGAAAGCTCTAAGGCGGAGACCATGATGGCCTCAGAAAACCGCCTGCCGAGTCAGAGACTCCCTAGAACGGTCACCCAGTGCCCCTGGCGTGCCTCACGCTGCGTCACCCACCAGGCAGTGTGCCATAGTGCCAAGCCAAGCAAAATAATGGCAACCTTAGAAACAGACAACAGGAACAGAAATATATTAACTCCATAGCAAGTGGAGGCAGCAGGATTGCAAGTTCAAGGACTGACTCGACTACTGGTGAGTTCAAGTCTAGCCTGGGAAACAGTGAGACCCTGTCTCAAAATAATTAGTAAAAAGAGGACTGAGAGCCGGGCAGTGGTGGCGCACGCCTTTAATCCCAGCACTCAGAAGGCCGAGACAGGCAGATCTCTGTGAGTTCAAGGCCAGCCTGGTATACAAAGCTACACAGAGAAACCCTGCCTCGAGGGAAAAATAAATTAAAATAAAAAGAGGGCTGAGCATGTAGTTTAGCAGTAGGCCATTCACCTAGAACACACGGGCCCTGAGTTCAAGTCCCAACAACAGAAAGATTGACTCCAAGAAGGGCACAGTAATACATAATCTGTTTTCCTCTAGACCCAGAACTTGGGAGGTGGAGGAGGAAGGTCACAAGTCTGAAACCAACTTAGGCTACAAATCGAAACCGTCTCTCAAAAAAAAAAGTTTGACTCCAAAAATATTTTTAATTAAAATGATTTAATCACAACTAATACTTAGTCAACTATTTGCTTAATGCAGTGTGTGCTGTTCCAGACCAGCCATGGCCTGAATTCAAGGCCAAGCTAAGCTAATATGAGATCTTGTCTCAAAACAACAAATGGGACGGGGGTGCAGTTAAATTGCTAGAGCGCTTGCCTAGCATGCATGGCGCCCTGGATCCAGTTCTCAGAATCTCATAAACTGGGCGCGTGACCCATGTCAGTAACCCCAGCACTGGGGAGGTGAAGGCAAGAGGATTAGAAATTCAAGATCATCCTCTGCTACAAACTGAGTTAGAGGTCAGCCTAAGCTACATGAAACTCTAAGAAACAAATGAAACATGGTTGTCCAGCAGTAGTGGCACCAGGACTTTTTCATGGTTGGGGATCAGGAGCCGCTTCAGTGTGGATACAGACCCATTTAATGTTTCACAAGACCCGGAACCGGGCTCATGCCTCTGGCCCTCCAAAATACAAATATGCAGAGGCCTAGTGGGCTGGAGCTGTGTCTTTTGTTTATTTGTTTGTTTTAGAGACAGGGTTTCTCTGTAGCTTTGAAGGCTGTCCTGGAACTCGCTCTGTAGATCAGGCTGGCCTCGAACTCACTGAGATCCACCTGCGCCTGCCTCCTGAGTGCCAGGATTAAAGGCATGCGCCACCACTGTCCGGGTATATAGAGCCACGGCTTAATTGCAGTTTTTTTATTGCTGTGAAGAGACACCATGACCATGGCAACTCTTATAAAGAAACATTTATTGGGGTGGCAGCTTACAGCTTCAGAGGTTCAGTCAATTGTCATCATGGTGGGAGCATGTTGAAGCGCAGGCAGACTTTGTGCTGGAGCTGAGTCCTAAATCTTGGCTCAGAGGCAACAGGAAATTGCCTGACTGTCACACTGAGGGAAGCTTGAGCAAAAGAGACCTCAAAGCCCGCCCTCACAGTGACACACTTCCTCCAGCAAGGCCACACCTCCTAATAGTGCCACTCTCTTTGGGAGCCAGTTTCTTTCCCATGACCACAATGGACTTGGAGCTGCCTGACGTAGATGCTGGGACCTGGACTCAGGCTCTCTGCAAGAGCAGTGTATGCTTTTAAACACCCAGCCACGTCTCCAGCCCTGCTTTTGTCATTCTTGTTTATGTGCCTATACGTGTGTGGCTACGTGTGTGCCACGTACATGCTGATGCCTGAGGAAACTGTGAGGCCGTTTGACCCTTGGAGCTGGAGATATACTGGGCTGGGAGCTGCCCGATATGGGTGCTAGGACTTGAACTTGGGCTCTCTGCAGGAGAAGTCAGTGCTCTTAACCACTGAGCTCCTCGACTTTCTTTTTATGATATTTGTTTGGTTTTGTTTCTTATGGAGAAAAGGTCTAGATGTGCCTCCCTGGCTTCTCTGAACTTGTAGAGATCCTCCTGCCTCTGCCTCCCAAGTGCTGGGATTATATGTGTGAGTCACCACATAGCAATATTTTTTGAGACAGTGTCTCTATATCACCAAGGCTGACCTTGAACTTACTCTGTAGATTTTTTTTTTTTTTTGGTTTTTCGAGACAGGGTTTCTCTGTGGCTTTGGAGGCTGTCCTGGAACTAGCTCTTGTAGACCAGGCTGGTCTCGAACTCACAAAGATCCGCCTGTCTCTGCCTCCCGAGTGCTGGGATTAAAGGTGTGCGCCACCAATGCCCGGCCCCACTCTGTAGATCTTGACCTTGCGATCTACCTGCCTAAACCTCCTGAAGCTGGGATTACATAGCACACACACATTCTCAAACGCTGGAGTATCTGGGTCATCAGAGAGACTGACTGAGTGCAGTTTTCCAATACTTCTCCTGCTCCCAAATGTAAACCCTCTGGGAGAGCTGGGGCAAAGGTTCAGCTAGGAAATGTTTGCTGCACGAGCCTGGGAGGACCTTTACAAACTGCCATCCCAACACCATGGAAAAAGCTAGGCCACAGCAGCCTTCACCTGCAACCTCAGCTCTGACTGCAATGAGAGACCCTGTCTCAGAAAATAACATTAAAGATGATTGAGGAAGACACCCATGTTGACCTCTGGCCTCCACAGGCACAGGCCCTTACCTTCGCACTCACAACACACCACACACACACACACACACACACACACACACACACACCTCTGAAAAAGGGCTTACAGATTCGTGTTGTGAGACCAGGAATGGTGAAACATGCCTATAAATCCCAGCCCTCCAGGGCATAATGCAGCCAGATCCACCTACCAAGTCTGACGCCAGCTGGGATGTACAGCAAGAAGAGAGCAAGAGAGCCAGGAAGGGAAGGAGGGAGACATGGACGGAGAGGAGAAGGGGGGAGAGAGGGACAGACAGACAGACAGACAGACAGACAGACAGACAGACAGACAGACACAGATTTTTCAGATGTGTTGGGGCATACTTGGATCCCAGCCACTCAGGAGGGTCAGGAAGAAATATCTCAAATTCAAGTCAGCCTGGGCTACACTAGAAAAGCCCATTACACACACACACACACACACACACACACACACACACACACGCGCTTTGTTTCGTTTTTCTTAATAAATGAAGGACTGGAGAAATGGCTCAGCTGTTAAGAGCACTGGCTGTTTTTTCAGGGGATCCAGGTTCGATTTCCAGCACCCACATGGCAGCTCACAACCATCTCTAACTCCAGTCCATGGGATCTAGCACCCTCTTCTGGCCTCCACGGTCATTGCATTCACATAGTGCACAGATGCAGACAAAACACCTGTACACATAAACTAAACACAGGAATTTTTGAAGTGTATGAAAAACTTAAGTTTATATTTTGTTTGAAGCACTTCAAGAATAGCCATGAAACTATTAACACTAGGTGTCTTTACAGAAGAAAAATGAGGGCTGGGAGTCAGAAATGGACTTTTAAAATTCTGAACCATGTGAATGTATTACCTTTTAATACATAGTATAAATTTTTTAGAGGAAAGAAATAGAACAACCAGACAGAAGATCAATGAGGAAATATGGGATTTTATCAGCACTGTGGACCAACTGGAGATTATATGTATTCCAGGACAGTAGGATATACGTTCTTCCCAAGGGCATGTAGAACGTTCTCCAGAATAGACCCTCCACATTGAAACCGTAGAAAGTGTCTGTTTCAGTAACTGTGGAAAATCAGAGATCAACATCAGAAGGGAAACAAAAACCCACCAACTGGAGAAAATAAACAACAGAATTTTAAAGAACAATGCTAAAGGCTTATGAGCCTGTGTACACAGATGCTCTTCCCCCGGCTCTGAAACCCACGCACTTACTCACTGAGCCATCTCTCCAGCCCCTAGCCAACAGACTTGTTTGTTTGTTTGTCTGTTTTTCTGTATTGTTTTGGTGGATGTCCTGGAACTCGTTCTGTAGACCAGCCTGGCCTCGAACTCACAGAGATCCACCTGCCTCTGCCTCCTGAGTGCTGGGATTAAAAGCGTGCGCCACCAGCACCCAGCTGCCAACAGACTCTTAACCAAAGGGTGAAAGGAGAAATCACAAGGGAAATTTGAAACTATCTTGTGACGAATAGAAACAAAATACAACAAAACTTACAAAATGAAAGAAGTAGGTAGCTGTAAATGCCTACATTATTAAAGAAAGCTGCTGCAAATTTGGCTCAGCCGTCAAGAGAACTGCTCTTACCCTGATTCAATTCCCAGCACCCACAGGGCTGCTCACAACCTTCTATAACTCCCGTTCCAGAGACTCTGATGTCGTCCTCTGGCCTCCATGGGTTATGAAGCATTCGCACGGTACACAGACAAACATGCGGCAAAACATCCATACACATAAATTTTAACGTAATGTAACTTTATAAAACAAACAAGAAATGACTGTGATGACCCATGTCTGTAGACCCACCAGTTCTTGGGACTTGAGGGTGGAGATAGAAGGATCAGGAGTTCCAGATCATCCTCTGCAAAATAATCAAATTCAAGGCCAGCAGAAGGAAAGGCTGTTGCGTGCCAGGTGCGTAATCAGTGTGTGGTCACCTGCGTCCTCCCCTGCAGCCCTTGGAGCAGCAGCCCCCTACATCTTCCGGGGAAGAGGACGTGGAAGGCTATTTGCAGCAGCCAGAATGGCGACACCCCGCGCTGCTTGTAGCAAGCACTGGCACAGAGTGCAGGCCTTGACACCAGGCAAAGACGGCCATGTGAAGTCCACAGGAAGTCATGGCAGTTCCCTGAGCAGAATCGGTGACCCCGGGAGTGTTTCCCTCGGTGTGTGAGGAAGGAGTGGCTGGACCTATGCCCTCAACCCAGTCAGCAAGATCGGTAACAAATACAAGAACCTGTCAGTGGTCAAAGGAAATTAGCTTCCGAAGTCCATGCCCCATCTCCCGGCATTCCCACAGCTCTGAATGACTCACACCCCGAGGCAGCAGGTCTCTGCCATCTGCGCTGCTCTGCTCTGGCTGAGTGAGACCAGCTGGATAGGGCTGCGGTCTCCCGATGGGTGATTGGCATGCCAGCCTTGCCTGGCGATGGGGGAGCAGGTCCCCGTGAGCACCCTCTGCTGGAGACTTCTGGCCTGGCTGAGTCTGCAGGCTCTGGGCACTGGGCCCAATGGGTTTTCATTTTTTATTAGAGCAGTGGGATGTCTTTCAAGAGTCTCCATGATATTAATTACAGCCTGTTGTGTATCAGCCTACGGCTTCACAAAGGACAGGGCTCGTGTTCATAAGGCCTCTGAGACCTGAGACACTCCTCACCCCCAAGGATTGATTTCTCAAGGATTCTGAGCTCCCCCACCTGATGTTCCAGAGAGCCTGTCAAGTCAGCAAGGCCCTAGAGCTGCGGAAGCTCCATGCTGGGAGCCTTCTGCAGAACAGAGAATTCTAGAAATCGGACCTAGAAGTTGCACACCGATGGTCAGGACAGAGCACCACATTCCAATTCCGGGAGACAGTTAATCTCCCAGTGCTGGTCAGTCGCAGGAGAACCTTGGTCACCCACAGAAACATCTGGAGATGGGGGCAGCGTTTCAAACTTTTTTTTAAAGACATATTTATTAATTACATATACAGTGTTCTGCCTGCATGGTGCTCTCCCTCCTTGTCGGCATGCACTCCAGAAGGGGGCACCAGATCTCATTATAGGTGGTTGTCAGCCACCATGTGGTTGCTGGGAATTGAACTGGAGTCCTCTGGAAGAGCAGTCAGTGTGCTTAACCTCCGAGCTGTCTCCTCAGTCCCCAGACAATAATTCATAGCAAGACCCCTCGATGGTGATGATGATGATGGAAGAGTGACTCGGGGAGACATCCAAGTGGACCTCTGGCCTACACACACAGATACACACATGCATATGAACACACACACACACACACACCACTCAAGGTATTTAATATCTCCTATGAAAAGGCAGCACCCAAAACTTTGAATACGGCAGGGCATTGGTGGCGCACGCCTTTAACCGCAGCACTTGGGAGGCAGAGGCAGGCGGATCTCTGTGAGTTCGAGGCCAGGCTGGACCGACAGCCTCCAAAACAATACAGAGAAACCCTGTCTCGTAAAAACAAAAAACAAAAAATAAAAAACACTGACTGTGAAGGCTCCATAGCTCATAAGGACATCTAGGCAGCATTTAGCGTGTTTCCACAGCGCACGTTTCATTTAGTCCCCAAGTCCAGTTCATAAAAGAGATGAGTGTTCGGGAGGAGAATACGGGAGAGTCTAGACACAGCAAAGGAAAGAAAAAAATAACATAATTATATTATAATCTCCAAAAGTTAAATAATTTTTCAAAAGAGGTATGTTAATATGGCTGCATTTTACAAAATGACACGGAACTCAGAGGAGCCGGAACTTGCCCCCGTCACACAAGTAAGAAGACACCTGCCGTGGTTTCATGGGGTTGTCCTCCAGTGGTTTATGTGCTGGAAGCGTGGTCTCAGTGTAGTGAGACTTCAGGTGGGTGGGGCCTGATAGATGGCTCGCCAGGTAAAACACGAGCCTGACACCTTGAGCTCAGTCCCTGGAACCCAAAGGTCTTTTTTTCTTTTTTCTTTTGTTTTTTGTTTTTAAGCTGCATGTGTGGGCATGCATCTGTAATCACAACATTCCTAAAGTGAGATGGGGGAGTCGTGGATACAAAAAGAGGGACTGTCCTCAGAAGCAAGATGGCAGAACCAACTGAAGAGCGCACGCTTCCAAAAGTTGTCCTGTGACTTCCATGTGTGCTATGACTTACCCATGAGTGCATGCATGTGGGAGTGCATACACACACACACACATTAATTAATTAGTTAATTAAGAATAAAATAGGAGCCGGGCGTTGGTGGCACACACTTTTAATCCTAGCACATGGGAGGCAGAGGCAGATGGATCTGTGAGTTTGAGGCTAGCCTGGGTTACATAGCAAGTTATAGGCCAGCCAGGGCTACACAGTGGGACCCTGTGAAGAGGAGGAGGAAGAGGAAGGTGAGGAGGAGGAAGGAGGAGAAGAGCTAGCCCTCACTGTGCTCTGCCTTCTCATTATGCCGTGCAATCTCTCTATGCTGTTTACCTATGGTGCCATCCATCATGTCATGACAGTCTTGCCACATGCCTGGAACTCTCTTTGCAACCCAGACTAGGCTGAAACCTAGAGCAACCCTCCTCTCTGTCCCTCTGAATTGCTGGGATTATAGAGATGTACCACCACATAAGGCAAACCTCTTTTCTTTAAAAGGTACCCAGCCTTCAGTATTTTGTTGTGATAATACAAAATAATTCGGAAAATGTCTTGGCTAAAATTAAAGGGGGTCTCTGGAACCCTAAGAGGTGCAGGCTCGAACCCAGCTCTTTTCAAGCCAGTGCCAGAGATTTCCGATTGGGTCCCACAGTTCCCGGAGAGTAGCAGTGTGTGCTTACAGAACTCAAGGCAAGGTGACTCTGTGTCTTTCTTCCTCCATAGCATTGCTGTTTTCCCAGGATCTTTTCTTCCTTGTTTCTGTTTCCTCTTCCTCTTCTCTCACCATAAGTAAAATCCCCACCTAAGCAACACACTAACTTCGTGCACATACGAGTTAGCAGCTTCCCTCCTGCTAACAGAACCGTGGACTGTCCCTTGCATAGCCAGCCCAGGGCCATACGTGAGGTGCTCTCAGCACTTAGTGCACTTGCAGCAACGTAGCAGGCAGCTGCCTCTGAGTCCCTTGCACCACACACAGGTCTCAGAGGTGGGTTTCCACCTGCCCACTTGACAGGGAGCTTAGCGAAGGTTCTGAAGGTTGTTCGTGGCTTCCCACTCAGAATGGCTGCTTCCTGGCTGACTTTTCCAACCAGTTCCACTGAAAGAGAAGGCCGTTCATTTTATTTACATGAATGTTTGTTTCTCTGTGTATGTTAGCTAATTGTTTTGTGGTTTTTGTTTGTTTGTTTTGTTTTGAGACAGGGTTTCTCTGTGTAGCCCTTGCTGTCCTGGAACTTATACTTTGTAGTTCCGGCTGACCTTGATCTCACAGAGATCTGACTGCCTCTGCCTCCTGAGTGCTGGGATCAAAGGCGTGCACCCCCACACCCATCATGTTAGTGAATTTTCTATAGCTTTAATAAAGAGCCATGGTCAAGGCAACGTATACAAAGACTGTGTTTACTTGGGCTTAGCGTTCCAAAGGGCAAAGTCTTGCAGCAGGAACAGCTGTGCGCTCGCGTCTTAAGCCGTGAGCAGTAGGTGGAGAGCACTAGCTCCAAAGGCTTGAGTCTTTTGAACATCAAAGCCCGCTCCCAGCAACACACCTCTTCCACCAAGGCCACACCTCCTAATCCTTCCCAAACAGTCTAACAACTAGGGACCAAGTCTTCAAACATAGGAGCCTCTGAGAGCCATTCTCCCTCAAACCATCACCACAGTGTGTGTGTGTGTGTGTGTGTGTATACCTCTGTGTGTCTGTGTAGGTGTGTGTGTCTATGTGTGCCTCTGTGTGTCTGTGTAGGTGTGTGTCTCTTTCTGTGTGGTGTTTGTACACGTGTGTGGCAGCTGGCCTTCACCTGTGAATATGTACAGAAACCAGAAGAGGACATCAGGGGTTCTGCACTATTACTCCCTGTTGGATTCCCTTATGGCAGGGTCTCTCAGTGTCCTTGGGGCAAATCTGACCGGAAGCAAGCCCAGAAAGCTTCCAGCAGCTCTTTCCCACTGCGTCCAACAGCTCTGATAAAGCTGCACACAGCTTTTTTTTTTTTAATGTGTGTGTGTATTTTGACTACATCTATGTAAGTGCACCACATGTGTACGGTGCCCAAGGACACCAGAAGAAGGTGTCAGAAACTGGAGTTGTAGGTGGTTGAGAGCCACCATGTGAGCGCTGGGAACCAAACCTGGACTGGTAGCCCTGGGTGCTGTAAGAAAGCAGACTGAAGCCGGACGTTGGTGGCGCACGCCTTTAATCCCAGCACTCGGGAGGCAGAGGCAGGGGGATCTCTGTAAGTTCGAGACCAGCCTGGACTACCAAGCAAGTTCCAGGACAACCTCCAAAGCCACAGAGAAACCCTGTCTCAAAAAACCAAAAATTAATTAATTAATTAATTAATTAATTAATTAATTAAAGAAAGAAAGCAGACTGAAGCCAGGTGGTGATGTCTTTAATCTCAGCATTTGGCAGGCAGATCTCTGTGAGCTCAAGGACAGCCTGGTCTACAGAGTGAGCTCTAGGACAGGCTCCAAAGCTACAGAGAAACCCTGTCTTAAAAAATAAAAGAAAGAAAGAAAGAAAGCAGACTGAGCAAGCCAGAAAAAGCAAGTCAGTAAGCAGCATCTTCCATGGCCTCTGTTTCCATTCCTGCCTCCAGGATCCTGCCCTGACTTCCTTGGATGATGGACTACAAATGAAATAAACCCTTTCTTTCCCACCTTGCTCTTGGCAATGGTGTTTTATCACAGCAGCGGGAACCCTAAGACTATCATTCAGTCCCCACAAAGTGCTTTATGAGGTGGGGTCCTGCTCCCCGCCCCCATTTGACATAGGAGAAAACTGAGGCTCAGGAGACCTAGGAGTTTGCCACCAGGAAACGAAAATGGGGCCCAGATCCAGCTGATCCCTGGGTCCAGCCCTTTGACCCCCACCTTGCCAGCCAGGCTCACTGTTCCTCCATTTGTCTGCTTTTGAAGGCAGGGTGGAGTCCACAGACCTGATGTTCTTGGCCTGACCTCCCAGACTCCATGGTTCAGTTTGAGGCTGGCTTTGTTTCCCAGCAGAAGAACTGTCTGGGTTTCAGGATGGAAGCCAGTTGACAGCCAGAGTGTCTGCTAGAACCTTAGGAACATATGTGACACGTCTATTCGGAGGCACAGAGGAAGCTAGAGCTCAGACTATTTCAAAACAGTTCCTTTCTCTTCAGCGAGATGTGTGCACAGCACTCATCTTCCACAGAAAAGGAGGAAACGCTGTAAAATCAGTATCGGGGACCCATGCTGAGTTGGCTGGGGGACTCCCTCGTGTAGGAGTATGTGGGTATTAGAGACAGAAAACTGGAGGATTCTTTCAGTTGCAAGCAACAGAAAACCCAACCCAAATGACAGTGATTGACAGAGCAGAAAACTTAGGAGCCGGCACATCTTCAGGAGCAGTTTGATCAAGAGGTCAAGAAAGCTTCAGGTCCCACCCATTTTCCCAGTTCACCTCTCTCAAAGCAAGATGGCTGCCGTGCGGTACTATTCCATAACGGGGACCAAAGCGCCTAAGACGGCAACTCCAAGGAGGAGTGACTTGTTTGGGCTCACAGGTTCAGAGGGTTCCATCCATGAATGCTTGGGCACAGCACCATTATGACGTGAGCCTGTGTTAGGAGAGCTGCTCACCCCATGACAGACAGGAAGCAGACAGTGTTGAGAAGGGGCCAGGACATGCCCCCCCCTACAAAGGAATGACCCACTTCCTCCAGCTAAAATGCTGCTCTTCAGTTTTCTGGCACCTCCTAAAACAGTGCCACAGGCTAGGGACCAAGTAGTCAGCTTGTGAGCCAGAAGGGATGTTTCATATTCAAGTCTTATCTCCTCTAAGGAAAGGGGATCTGAAAGGAAGGTTGGCCCAGGACACACCAAGATCAAATTCTCAGCACAAAGGAGATTTATTTGTCCCAGAGGGGAAAAGGGCAGGGATAAGAGCTGCAGACAGAGGTAGAAAGAGAGAAGGAAGGGAAAAGGAACAAGGAAGGGGGTGGGATATTTGTCCCTGGGGGACAGAGGACTGCTTTTGGATTTAGAGGAAAGAGACTTGGCAGTTTACAAAGGGAAAGAGGAGACCCTGCATTAGGAGCTGCTTATTTTGACTGGGCATGTTAACTAGGGTGATCAAAAGGGGGCTTTTGATTGCTGAACTTCAATACTTTGGTAGCTGGACCTTAGCAGTCAGCCTCAGGAGGAGGAGGAGGCCAAATGAGGGACTAGACCTTGGGGACAGCTTTAGGAATGTCATCTAACAGCTCTAGCCAGGCAGATCGAAAGGGGGAGAAGGGCAATGCGTTTGTGTGCCATGCTCAGGCCTGTTAGAGCCCTTCAGGGACACATGTTCCCAGTAAGTTAGCTGAGTTCCACTGGCTCTGGGTGGCTCAATGAGGACCAGGAAAGTGTGATATCAGACAGACGTGTTAGCATGTGCGTGCGATCCCAACACTTGGGAAGTGGAGAAAGCCTGGGCTACGTGAGATCACGTCTCAAAACAGGAAGAAGGGGGGGGGGGGAAGAAGAAGGAAAAGAGAGGGGAAAAAAAAGGAAAAGGCAAATGATCTCCTTTGACCTGCTGGCTCTGGGTACCTGTGGGAGGGCCAACAACACGGACTTCACAGACTCAGTGGGATGAGGGGGGATGTTCTCAGACAGTAGTGGGATACATTACGAGAAGCAGGATCAGCCAGACTTGGCGATGCAGCCTGTAACTCACGCTATCTGAGAGCCTGAGACAGGAGGATCACAAGTTAACTGAACAGAGGGAGTTCAAGTCTTCTCTGGTCAATTTATCAAGATCCTATCTCAAAATAAGAAGGGAAAGGAGCCCGGCGTTGGTGGCGCATGCCTTTAATCCCAGCACTCGGGGGCAGAGACCAGCCTGGTCCACAAGAGTGAGTTCCAGGACAGCCTCCAAAGCTACACAGGGAAACCCTGTCTCAAAAAACCAAGAAGGAGAAGGAGAAGGAGAAGGAAGGGCTAGGCCTGTTGCAGAGAGCTTGCCTCTCATACATGGGGCCCTGGATTCTCTCTCACACTCCTCCCCATAACACACGCATGCCCAAAAGAGCAGGACGGATGGGACACGGGGTGTAGAAGAATGAAGGCAAGAATCAGGAGTAAGGAAGGAAGGAAGACGCAAAGGAAGGGGAGAGGAAGGCAGATAAGCAGGCAAGAAATCCATTTGGGGTTAAAAGCAAAGTGACAGACAGTCTCCAGGACGGGTACACTCAAAAGCTCATTTACTATCTGTTTGTAAGTCAGTACATTTTTACCTCTCTCTCTGTGTAGGGAGCATTCATTGTAAATATCCCAGGCTAGCCTAAATAAATATTTATTATTTCATCTGTAAATGTAGTGAAGATACTAGATATTTGCAATGAAAAATAGAAATAAAAATACATAAGGCCAGATGACACGCCGGAGAGCTACTGGGTGGGAAAGCCTATCTGTGTTTGTTTGGAGTGCTGGGGCTTGAGAAAAAGAAAGCTTAATTAATGAGCATGGGCTGGCAGATGGAGGCTCTGGCGGGGACCGGAGGGGGCTTCGGAGCATCTCCAAGGTCTCAGGGTTTGACAACGGGGCTCTCTGTGAAGCAGGATTTCCCTTCCTATGTTGTGGTCTTGCTTTCCCTAGACAGAGATGAACCCAGAACGTTCCTCGTATGTCCTCACAGGTGCAAAAGGAAGACGTGACTTTGCAACCAAGCCATGATTCTGTCATTGTGCCTCACAAATGGGGTCTGCGGGAGGGCGGGGAAGAGCAGGAGGCTGTTCCTCCCGAGCCAAGGGTGTTTGAAGAGGCCGCAGGGGAGGGGCAGAGAGGCAAAGGAAAGCTTCATAAATCATAAATTGGGAGGATGTGCAGGACTTGTTCTTCTGGAAAACGGCCTGTGTCTGCCTAAGGAGATAGAGCTGTGCCACTGTCCTGCTGTAAAAGACCCGAACTCACACAACCTACTGCTAGCTCCTCCTCTCGCAGTCCTTTTAGAAAGATGGGACTGCTGCAGTTTGGATTTGAGTGGCAGCTCAGCCTGGCCAGAACAGTTTTTTTTGTTTGTTTGTTTGTTTTGGGGGGTTTTTCGAGACAGGGTTTCTCTGTGGCTTTTTTGGAGTCTGTCCTGGAACTCGCTCTTGTAGACCAGGCTGGCCTCGAACTCACAGAGATATACCTAACTCTACCTCTGTTGGGATTAAAAGTGTGGACCACCACTGCCCAGCTCTTGTTTTTGTTTTGTTTTGTTTTTTTTAAACAGAATTTCTTACTGAAGCTGGAGCTCGAAGTTTTTGGTAGCCCTGGGAATCTATCCTCACCCCAACCCCCAGTCCTGGAGTTAAGGGCCAGCACCACCTTGTCCAGCATTTGCATGGGCGCTGAGGATCTGAAGCGGAGACTTGTGCTTACACAGCAGGCGCGGTACTCACTGAACCCTGAGAGACGGTCACCAAGAGCACAGGTCTCGGGCTCAGGAGGTGAGTCAGCCGTAGGAGAATGTTTGCCTAGCATGCAGTCCCCAGCACCGCCTCTATCTACGGGGCGTGGTGGCCCACACGTGTAATCCCAACACTTGGGTGATGGACACAGAGGATCAGAAGTTTAAGGTAAGCCTGGACGACTTGAAACTATGAAACATAAAGAAAGATGGCGGTCTGAGGAATTGAGAGCACACAGCTAAAGTCCTTCCAGTCTGTTAGCGGGGAGGGCGATGATGCAGACCGGGCTAAAAGCAGAGCGAGCACTGCTTGGGCTATGGATTCGTGGGGGAAACACTAATTAGTCCTGGATGCTTAAGAGCGTGGAGGTGGAGGAGAGGGAGCGTCGGGTTTTCAGTTGGTTCCTGATGGACACTGGCTCTTCTGGATGAAGAATGTGAGGCAGGCTTGGTGTAGAAGCTGGCAGGGTGTGGGGAACTCTATTTTATACAAGTGACTCATCAGGAGAGTGTACAGATGGAGTGAGCCAGCAGCCGTGAGCCACACAATCCAAATCCCATGAGCACTTAGCCACTGCTGGGGGCAGCCACTGGAGAACGCCAGCTTCCATCCCATAGCAAGCCCTGTGCGGTGCCTATGCCCTAAATGCAGCAGTGCTTGAGGGGCTTGTTCATTTTTGTTTGTTTTTCCAGACAGGGTTTCTCTGTGTAGCTTTGGACCCTGTCCTGGAACTAGCTCTTGTAGAACAGGCTGGTCTCGAACTCCCAGAGATCCACCTGCCTCTGCTGGGATTAAAGGTGTGTACTACAGGCTGGGCTTTGGTGTCGCAGGCCTTTAATCCCAGCACTCGGGAGGCAGAGGCAGGTGGATCTCTGTGAGTTCGAGGCCAGCCTGGTCTACAGAGTGAGTTCCAGGACAGCCTCCAAAACAATACAGAGAAACCCTGTCTCGAAAAACCAAAAGAAGAAGAAGAAGAGGAAGAAGAAGGAAAAGAAGAAGGTGAAGGTTCTGGGTGAAGTTTGCCAGGAGAAATCCAGACAGAGGCGGCTTTGTGAAGCTGGTGGGGAGGCCTCTTGCCCAGGAAGCACAACGCAGCATCTGAGGGAGGTGATTTTTTAATCTCCTATTTTGGGCTCTCTGCAATGTAGAAACGTCTGTTTTACAGTGTCTACAACTATTTCATGAAGTTTCAAAATTTGTCAGCATTCTTACCTGCTAGTGTTTGTGTTGTTCCTTGTCTCCTGGTGTGACTGCACCCCCGACAGAAGCGCCTGGAAGATGGGAGGTTTGTTTGGTTTTCTGGTTCCAGATATTTAGCCCCGCGATGTCTAGGAAGGCAGGGGAGACGGCTCTGCTGAGGTGGGAGTGTGCGGGGACAGCAGTAGCTTGTCACATCGTGCAGCTCAGGAAGCACAGGGAATGGGAGCAGCAGCAAGGCTCAGGGGCTACAGCTCAGAGGACTGCTCCAAGTGCCCGGCTTCCGCCAGCGGGCCCCAGTCTCCCAGAGTGCACTGCTGGCTGGTCATCACGGGTCCTAACGCGAGCCTACAGGGGAAGTTTCTGACCCAAACACAATGCCTCTTATTTTTATTGTATTTCGAAACAGGCTCTTCTGGTGTAGCCCGGTGTGGCTTTGAACTTGAAATTCTCCTGCCTCTCCCTTCGGAGTTGTGAGATTACAGATGTGTGCCAGCAAGGCTAGGTGCCCTTTACATTTCTAATGTCTCTTTGTCAGTCTGTCTCCCCCCTTCTCTTAACTCCTGTATTAGTTAGACTTTGTCTTTTACAAAAATAAGCAGCCCAAGAACAAATATATTAATTCTACTCTTTTCCCTCCATCCTCCTCCTCCTCCTCTTCCTCTTCTTGCTTTGAAACAGGGTCTGAGGTTGACCAAGGTGGCCTTGAACTTGTGATCCTCCTGCCTCTACCTCTCAAAGACTGAGATCACCGAATGGGTCATCATTCTCAGCTTGCTTATTTACTTTTTGTTTGTTTTTGTTTTTGTTTTTCAAGACAGGATTTCTCTGTGTAACAGCCCTGGCTGTCCTGGAACTCACTCTGTAGAACCAGGCTGCTCTCAAACTCACAGAGATTCGCCTGCCTCTGCCTCCCAAGTGCTGGGATTAAGGTCTTGCGCCGGGCGCTTATTTGCTTTTTAATGTTTATTTTTCTAACTTATTCTCTTCTGTTTTCTTTTTTGTTTGTTTGTTTGTTTGTTTTTGAGACAAAGCCTCATGTGGCCCAGGTTGGCCTCAAACTCTGTAATCAAGGTTAGCCTTGACTCTTTAAATTTTTATTTATTATTTTTTATCTTATGTATGTGTGGGTGTTTTGCATACACAGGTCTGTGCACCACATGCATGCAGTTCCCATGAAGGCCAGAAGAGGGTGTTGGATCCTCTAGAAATGTAGTTAAAGATGGTTGCTGGTCATGTAGTCCTTCAGTAGTCATCGTGAGGGTCCCCTGTGAGAGTAACAGGTGCTCTTTATTGCTGAGTCGTTTGATTTTTATTTTCCAAGAAAGGGTTTCTCTGTGTAACCTTGGTTATCCTGGGACTCGCCCTGTAGACCAGGCTGGCATCAAACTCACAGAGATCTGCCTGCCTCTACCTCCCTCCCTAGTACTGGGAGGCAGAGGCATGCACCACCAGCAAGGAAGTCATTTATATTAAAAATAATTACTAATTAATAATAATAATTAAGCTCAGCAGTGGTGGCCCATGCCTTTAGTCCCAGCACTCGGGAGGCAGGCGCTGGCAGATTTCTGTGAGTTTGAGACCATCCTGGTTTACAAGAGCTAGTTCCAGGACAGCTTCCAAAGCCACAGAAACCCTGCCTTGAAAAACTAAAAAAAAAATTAATAAAGTGAGAGAGAGAGAGAGAGAGAGAGAGAGAGAGAGAGAGAGAGAGAAGGAGAGAGACAGAGACAGAGACAGAGAGAGAGAGACCAAGTTGGAAATCAACTTTGTGGAATCTTTTATCCTTCTACCTTTACATGAATTCTAAGGATCAAACATCAAACTCAGGTCCTAACTTTTTTTTGGCAATAGCCTTTACCTACTGAGTCATCTCACTGGCCCACAAAAATAGTTTTTTAAATATGTGTTTTTTTTTAATTTATATTATGGAGTGTGTCTATGCACTGCATTCATGTAGTTCCTTAGAGAAGCCAGAAGAGGGCGTTGGAGTCCAGAGAACTGAAGTAATAGGTTCTTTACCATATCTGTACTGAGTACTGATCCCAGGGCCCCTGCAAGAGGCCCTGTTTTTTAACTGTTAGAAAACTTGGACCGGGCCGGGCGTTGGTGGCGCACGCCTTTAATCCCAGCACTTGGGAGGCAGAGGCAGGCGGATCTCTGTGAGTTCGAGGCCAGCCTGGTCTACAAGAGCTAGTTCCAGGACAGCCTCCAAAGCCACAGAGAAACCCTGTCTCAAAAACAAAAACAAAAACAAACAAACAAACAAAAAAGTATGGATTTTTTTTTTTTGGCCTGCATGTATTTGTGTACTACATGTATTCCTGGATGGATGGTGGATGGGTGGGTGGATGGATGGATGGATGGATGGATGGATGGATGGTAGATGGGTGGATGGATGGATGGATGGATGGATGGATGGTGGATGGATGGGTGGGTGGATGGATGGATGGGGGGGTAGGTGGGTGGGTGGGTGGGTGGGTAGGTGGGTGGGTGGATGGGTGGGTGGGTGGGTGGGTGGATGGTGGATGGATGGGTGGATGGGTGGATGGATGGGTGGATGGATGGGTGGGTGGATGAGTGGGTGGATGGGTGGGTGGATGGGTGGGTGGATGGATGGTGGATGGATGGGTGGATGGATGGATGGATGGGTGGATGGATAGATGGATGGATGGGTGGGTGGATGAGTGGGTGGATGGGATGGGTGGGTGGATGGGTGGGTGGATGGGTGGGTGGATGGGTGGGTGGATGACTAGATGGATGGATGTTTTGCCTGTGTGTGTGTGTGTGATGTGCACTGTATGCATGCCTGGTGTCCAAGGACATACGAAGGGGTGTCAGATGCCCTGGGATAGAGTTACAGGTGATTGTGAGCAGAGGGAATCGAACCCAGGACCTTGCACACTCTAGGCAAGAACCCTACCACTGGGTTAGATCCTCAGACTCTTTTTGCTTTATAAAATATATTTAGCCGGGCTTTGGTGGCACACGCCTTTAATCCCAGCACTCAGGAGGCAGAGGCAAGAGGAGCTCTGTGAGTTCCAGGCCAGCCTGGTGTACAGAGAGAGTTCCAGGAAAGGCTCCAAAGCCACAGAGAAACCTTGTCTTGAAACACCAAAAAAAATTTTTTTTAAAGTAGCTGTGAACTGCCGGGCGTTGGTGGCACACGCCTTTAATCCCAGCACTCGGGAGGCAGAGGCAGGCGGATCACTGTGAGTTCGAGACCAGCCTGGACTACCAAGCGAGTTCCAGGACAGCCTCCAAAGCCACAGAGAAACCCTGTCTCGAAAAACCAAAAAAAAAAAAAAAAAAAAAGTAGCTGTGAACTGCTGTGTGGGTGCTGGGAAGTGAGCCTGGGTCCTCTGGCCATGGAGCCATTTCTTCTTCAGCACTTTTTTTATTTTTGGGGTTTTGTTTGTTTGTTTGTTTGTTTTTTGAGACAGGGTTTCTCTGTATTGTTTTGGAGGCTGTCCTGGAACTCGCTCCATAGACCAGGCTGGTCTTGAACTCACAGAGATCCACCTGCCTCTGCCTCCCGAGTGCTGGGATTAAAGGCATGCGCCACCAATACCTGACTCATTTTGTTTTTTTTAAGATTTATTTACTTATTTATCATATATACACCAGATTGCATTATAGATGGTTGTCAGCCACCATGTGGTTGCTGGGAATTGAACTCAGGACCTCTGGAAGAGCAGTCAGTGCTCATAACCTCTGAGCCATCTCTCCAGCCCCCCATTTTGTTTATTTTTTTAAGATTTTATTTATGCATGTGTGTCTGAGTGTCTGTATGTACACCACATGTGTGTAGATGTCTTTGGAGGCTACAAGAAGACTTCAGATTCCCTGGAACTGGAGTTCTAGGCAGTTGGGAGCTGCCCAATGTGGGTGCTGGCGGCTGAATTCTGGTCCTCTGTAAGAGCAGGCACTCTTAAATCCTGAATCAGCTCTCCAGACCCTTGCTTTTAAATCCTGAGGCAGTGTCATGCCGAAAGTCCTTGAGCTCCCTCTCTATCCCAGGCTCTTTGTACCTGCCTCAGCCTCACTATCAGCTAGGACTGCAGCCTGCAGCATTCGGCCTTGCAAGTTCTAGAATCCAAGAGAAGTGATCCGTCTTCCTTGCAAGGATGTTTATCAAAGTGTTATGTACATTGGCGAAAATGGAAAATCAAAAAAGGAAACTGAAGGAAGGAAGAACCTCACACCCCACAGTTTGGACACGCTGGGCAAACCCTCTACCAGTGACGCTCACCTCCTAACAGGCACAGTGTTTGAAAATTACTTAACAGTAAGACAGCAAATTATACATGAATCAGAATTACATTTTTGTAACATTTTGTGTACACATGTATCTTATCCAGAAAAATACATATAAAATACCTAGAAGAAAATGTACATTAATGAGTTATTTCCACCAGGTGTGGTGGTGTGTAGCAGCAGGCAGGCAGGCATGGGGCTAGAGCCATGGTTGAGAGTTCACATCTTGATCCACAAGCAGAGAGAACTAATTGGGAATTGCATGGGCTTTTGACACCTCAAAGCCCACCCCTTATGACAAACCTCCTCCAGCAAGGTCACACCTCCTAGTTCTTCCCAAATAGTTCCAAAAACTAGGATCCAAGTATTCAAATACACGGAGTCATTCCCATTTAAACCACCACTCCTGTTTTTCCCATTTCTCTGGCCCCATGGCTCGGTGTGTAAGAGCTCTTGCTGCCAAGCCTAACCGTGTTCTACCCCAGAATCCGCACTGTAGAAGGAGAGAATTGCTATGTCCTCACACCTCTACCACACCTGTGCCCATACACATATACACAAGATAAAGAAATATAGGGAGACTAGAGGTTAAGAGCACTGGCTGCTCTTCGAGAGACCCAGGTTCAATTCCCAGCACCCGCGTGGCAACTCACAGCTGTCTGTAACTCCTATTTCAGAGGACCTGATTCCTGAAAGTATATGTATATAATTTAAAAATAAATTATAACAAAAGAAATATTTTTATTTTTATTTTTTGGTTTTCTTCCAGACAGGGTTTCTCTGTGGCTTTGGAGCCTGTCCTGGAACTAGCTCTTGTAGACCATGTTGGTCTCGAATTCACAGAGATCCCCCTGCCTCTGCCTCCCAAGTGCTGGGATTAAAAGTGTGTGCCATCACCGCCCAGTGAAATATTATTTTTAAAAAGTCAGTATTTTTATTTGTTGAGATTATAGATATTGTTTATTTGGTTTTTTTGTTTTGTTTTGTTTTGTTTTTGTTTTTCGAGACAGGGTTTCTCTGTATTGTTTTGGAGGCTGTCCTGGAACTCGCTGTGTAGACCAGGCTGGCCTCGAACTCACAGAGATCCACCTGCCTCTGCCTCCCGAGTGCTGGGATTGAAGGTGTGAGCCACCAATGCTCGGCTGATATTATTTGTTTTTTACATTTCTTTTTCTTTTTTATGGTTTTTCAAGTCAGGGTTTCTCTGTGTAATAGTCCTGGCTGCCCTGGAACTCACTTTGTAGACCAGACTGTCAAGTGTACATTTTTCCCTCTTCCTTGAACAAGCCATATTTCTCCCCTCCCACATCTAGCTTTGCTAAAACATATCTAACTGGTATGTAAAGGCTGCATATAATCCACATATAAATTAGTAAATGTACGTATGCTGCGGGGTTGCATCACAGCAGCCAAGGTGACTCACAAGCATACCTGTTTCTCCAGAGCTCTCCTGGTTATCCTGGTTTTGTTTTTGCGGCCAGAGCAATTACAGTATTCTCAAACAATTGCTTGGACATTTAGAAACCAAGGCATAAGTTTCTTTGGCAAAGGCCCCACGCAGCATTCAGAGAGCTTCCAGTTTGGGTGGTGGTGAACAGCCAGGCAAATAGAGGTTATATTGCGCAATGCCTTGACTTCCCTTCCTTTAGAAGTGTTTGGAGAACTGGGTGGGAAGAGGAACCAGCCTTTTCGGTTGCTGATTTAAGCCCTGGGTGGAATAGAGTATCTATTGTGGAAGTGTATTGTGCAAAGAGAGAATGGAGCTTTTTGTGAAGGGAGATAAAGAGGTTGTCGGGTGGGGAAGGGGAGGATGGGGGGGGAGGAGACAGGCTGGCAGATAGTTCCTGGAGAAGCAACCATCCCATGGGCAGACTTCAAGCAGGGCCACCCGAAGGTCCCAGCAAGTCCCTGGGTCCGTGAGTCCTCGACCAGCCCGGTACCCATTGTCACCTCATGCAGGCTCAGTCATTGTCCTTGAGAACCATGGTAAAACCGAGTAAGCTGAATTCCCTTTAAGCCGTCAGTAAGCAGTCTGAAGACACAGGTATGGCAGCTCACAGCTATAATCCTAGCAGTTAGGAAGCCGAGGCAGGAGTATAGCTGTGAGTTCTGGGCTAGCTTGGGCCACAGAACCTGATTCACCCGATTTCAGATCCCTGGAATGTATTTACAAAGAGAAGGACTTATTGGTGTGAATCTTCAGTGTTTTGTTTGCAGTTTTTAATTCTTTGTTTTTCAGACGGTTTCACTCTGCGGTCCTGGCTGCCCTTGAACTCTGGGGATCCTCCTGCCTCCGCCGCAGCTCCCAGTGGTTGTTCTTCCTCTGCTGTACTGATTCTGAGACGAGGCCTCACTACGTGGCCCTCACTGGCTTCACTGGAACTTCCTGTGTAGGCCCAGCTAACTTCAAAGCCACCGAAATCCACGTGCCTCTCCTGCAGAGTGTGCCGGACCATGCCTGACCTGTGGATTTTTTAGATGTAAATTCTTTTTTGTAATAACACTTTCTGCTACTAAGCTATTAGTTTTGTTTGTTTTGGCTGCTTCCTTTGTCTGTACTTTGAGGGTTTTTTTGTTTGTTTGCTTTTGGTTTTCCCAGGCAGGGTTTCTCTATGTAGCCCTGGCTGTCCTGGAACTTTCTCAGTAGACCAGGCTGGTCCTGAACACACAGAGATTCACCTGTCTCTGCCTCCCGATTGCAAGGACTAAAGGCATGCACCACCGCCACCCAGCTGTTTTTATTTTGCTTTTGTTTGAAATAGGGTCTTTTGTACCCCAGGCTTGCCTTAAGTACGGGACACCATGCCCCTGGCCTTATAACTTATTTATTTATTATTTTATTTATTTATGGTAGAGGAGATTGAATCCAATACCACCAGTATTGAATCACTCCACCAGTCCTTGAGAGGCAAGGTTTCACTTGCTCTCTCAAATGAAAACAAGCTAGGTGTAGTAGGCAGAAGGATTGCTTTGAGTGTAAGTCCAGGCCTGGGCACACAATGAGTCAAGGCCAGCTGAAGCTAAAGAGAATTGGCGTCTGGTTTTGTTTGTTCCTTTGCTTTGACACAGGAACTCCTTAGACTATCCAACACAAAGTAACCAAACAGAAAAAAAAAAAAAAGCTTGCTTTACTCAGGAAGATGGAAGACTTGGGAAGCTGCTAACTTGACCTCCACAGGTTAAAATCCCACCTCCCAGCATGCATCAGGTGTAGAGCAGTGGTTTCCGTCCCTTGGCTAACAAGACCAGTTCCTCTCGGAAACTTACTTCCCATTCCCATTTCGCTCTTCTTTCCACTTCCTCTAGATAGCTCGGCAGTTGGCTCCCACCCTTAAGTTACCCAGACAATTTTCCGGCACTGAAAAAATAAGTTATAAACAAGGATCTTTTAAAAAAAAAAGATTTTATTTTGAAAATACAGATGTCATCTAAACCACATCCCTTGTTCCCAAAATGCTACAGCTGGAAATGGATGTTATGAATCGGTTATTAAGGATTCTCCAAGCTAGCTCTGGGATAAAAAAAAAGATAAATCAAAAATAAAGTATCAGTTTAGAGGCTAGCACAATGTCTCTGGACATATCTCCTTGAATGTATCCTGTTTCCTCTGATCTCAAAGCTAAGCAGGGCCTGGCCTGGCTGGTACATGGATGGGAGTGAACAGGGATAAAATAAAACATTTTAGCAATTAAAAGCAACAGTTGAGAAGGTTCCGTGGTTAAGAGGGCTCAAAGCTCTTACGGAGGACCCAGGTTCCATTCCCAGGACCCACATGGCAGTTCACAGCTACTTCTAACTGTAATCCCAGGGGATCTGGTATATTCTGGCCTTCCTGTACACACGAGGTTCACAGACATACAGGCACTTACAAATACATACACATAAAACATTATCTATTTAAAGCAAAAAGAGGGCTCAGGATCTAACCCAGTGGTAGAGTTCTTGTCTAGCATGTGCAAGGTCTTAGGTTCAATTCCACTGTTAAAAAAATAAGATAAAAATTCTAGAGCTATGCTGGGTGGTGGTAGCAAACATCTTTAATCCCAGCACTTTGGGAGGCAGAGGCAGGGGGAATCTCTGAGTTCGAGGCCAGCCTGGTCTACAAGAGCTAGTTCCAGGACAGCCAGAACTGTTACAAAGAGAAGCCCTGTCTGGAAAAACAACAAACAAAAAAATTCTACAATTTTAAGTATAATAAAAAAAAGAGGTAGGAACTATTTAACTTCCCTTTTAAAAATATACTTTTGCTGGGCATGGTGGCACACACCTTTAATCCCTGCACTTGGAAGGCAGAGGCGTGGAGCTCTGTGAGTTCGAGACCAGCCTGGTCTACAAGAGCTAGTTTCAGGACAAGCTTCAAAGCCACACGGAGAAACCCTGTCTCAAAAAAAAAAAAAACAACAACAACAAAAAAACAAAAACAAAAACAAAAAAAAAGAGAATGTACTTTTAAAGACTACTTCTGTTATTTTGTGTGTACAGCATTTTGTGTTTTGTTGCATGGATGTCTGTGTGCTGTGTGCTTGCGGCTTGCAGTGGATGCTGGTGGAAACCGAATGTGGGTGCAGGGAATTGAACACAGGTCCTCTGAAAGATCTGCAAGACTCTGAACCACCGAACCATTTGTCCAGTCCAAACTTGCCTTACTTTGTAGTATCAAATTATTATTCAGATTTTGCATCAACTTGCCCCCATAATAATTTGTATAATCATGGTCCTATTTATTTGTTATTCATTTGTTTAAGGAAGCTGACTGTTGCCTGTTTATAGCCATTATGAAACTTTTCTGTGGCAAATTTTTCTTCCTCTTTTTTTCTGGGGGTGGGGTGTGACATTGGCTCAGGTTAGCTAGCTTTAAACATAATATCGAAAATCTGCATACATCCTACTGCCCAACAATTTGTATACATACATACTATGGAATAGTGTAATTTGTTATGGATGATACTGTCGGTGGTAACAGACAGGAAAAGATATTTGTGACATTATGACTTGATCAAACTAATTGCAACTCAGTTATGTGATGCAATTTTGTTAAATTTATTTTTAAAATCCCATTGTATTGTAATTTTATTTGGTTATATAGATATGGTCTATGCATGTGTGCTGTGCTGTGTGTGTGTGTGTGTAGCACTGTGTGACCCCTGGGGTTCTCTTCCTTTCCTTGACTGGATGCTAGTTGAGAGGTCTGATACTAAAAATCAAATATCAAGCCATGGGAGGTGGTTAATCCCAGCACTAGGGAGGGAGGCAGAGGCAGCTGGAACTCTGAGTTCCAGGCCAGCCTGGCCTACAGAGTATGGTGTAGGACAGCCAGCCAGCATTATACAGAGAAACCCTGTTTCAAAAAAACAAAACAAAACAAAAAACACCACAAAGAAACCCATAATAATAATAGAATATTGCCGGGCATTGGTGTCGCACGCCTTTAATCCCAGCACTCAGGAGGCAGAGGCAGGTGGATCTCTGTGAGTTCGAGGCCAGCCTGGTCTACAGAGCGAGTTCCAGGACAGCCTCCAAAGCTACAGAGAAACCCTGTCTCGAAAAACCAAAAAAAAAAAAAATAATAATAATAGAATATTGCCAGGCAGTAGTGGCACAAACCTTTAGTCGCAGCACTTGGGAGGCAGAGGCAGGAGGATTTTTGTGAGTTCGAGAACAGCCTGCTCTAGTATAAGAGCTAGTTCCAAGACAGCCTCCAAAGCCACAGAGAAACTCTGTCTCCAAAAACCCCCCCCCAAAAAAAGAATATGATGAATACTAGATATTACAAACCTGCTGATATCCTCTAAAAGTTTCAATTGGCTAATCTGGCAAGACACTAGTCTTTTTGTTTGTAAAGCTCTGGCTGTTCTGGCACTTGCTCTGTAGACCAGGCTGGCCTGGAACTCAGATATTCTGCTGCCTCTGCCTCCCCAGTGCTGGGATTAAAGCACACCTACCTTCAAATTTTAGCTCAGGGAAATCACTCTGGGGCTTCTGGGTGTCTGGGAAGAGGGCTGCGTGTGTCACTTGGAATGGAAGCCGCTGCTTGCTCTCTAGGGTCAATGTGGAAGCCTCTTCTGCTTGCAGTCAATCAGGTATTTGACTAAACAGTAATGTTTTGAGCTTGAGCTCTCACTGACATTCAAAGAGCCTTTAGAGTGTACAAGATACAGTATCCTGTGTTTTCTGTTACCTGATTTCATTCTTTCCAGCAACTCCAGGAAATGGCATTAATTATTTTAGTTAATAAGATGTTAGAGTAAAAGGCGGGGCATCTGCCCAGACAGGTTCTTTCAGGGAGGCAATATGTAAGAAGGATAGTGGGAAGCTGCTTGCGAAGGGGGGGGTGTGGGTAGGTGGTGGATTCAGATTTCAAGGTTATCCTTAGAGATACAGCAAGTGAGAGACTAGCCTGGGTTACATGAGACCTTGTCTGAGAGAAAGAGAGACGGAGAAGATCCTGAGGGATACTGGCCCCTATGAAAGAGATAAACCAGGCCAGGAGCAAAAATCCCAACCTTATCTGTAAATTCTGGCTTAGTTTTGATAAAGTAATCTGGAAGCCTGCCACAGAGAAGGCTGTAGAAGGATGCATCTGGCCAGGTGTGGGAGCTAATGCTTATCATTCCAGCAGAGGCAGGAGGATCTTGGGAATTCCAGGCTAGCCTGGGTTACTAGTGAGTTCAAGGCCAGTGGGAGACACGAGGGCTGGTGAGGTAGCTCAGTAGCTGAAGGTCACTGAAGCTATGCCGGAGTTCCTGAGTTCCATGCCTGGTCACTGAAGCTATGCCTGAGTTCCTGAGTTCAATGCCTGGTCACTGAAGCTATGCCTGAGTTCCTGAGTTCCATGCCTGGGACCTGTATGGTCCAAGACCATGCCATGCACACATTCCAACTTAATAAATGAATTAATGCTAAAATAAAATAAAGGGTATTTGGCCGGGCGTTGGTGGCACACGCCTTTAATCCCAGCACTTGGGAGGCAGAGGCAGGCGGATCTCTGTGAGTTCGAGGCCAGCCTGGTCTACAAAGTGATTTCCAGGACAGCCTCCAAAGCCACAGAGAAACCCTGTCTCGAAAAACCAAAAAAATAAATAAATAAATAAATAAATAAATAAAAAAGGGTATTTGTAGTCTTTTAAAACAGAAGCAAAGGCCAGGCCTTGGTGGCCACACCTTTAATCCCAGCACTCTGGAGGCAGAGGCAGGGGGATCTCTGTGAATTCCTGGCCAGCCTGGTCTACAAGAGCTAGTTCCAGGACAGCCTCCAAAGCCCCAGAGAAACCCTGTCTGGAAAAATCAAAAAACAAAAACAAAGCATTGGAAATCTGCATATATCCCACCCCCAACAATTTGTATACATACATACTATGGAATAGTGTAATTTGTTATGAATGATACTGTAGATGTTAACAGACAGGAAAAGATATTTGTAGCATATTACTTGATCAAACTAATTGCAATTCAGTTATGTGATGCAATTTTGTTAGCTTTATTTTTAAAATCCCATTTATTGTTTTGTAATTTTATTTATTTATGTGTGTATGCTTATGTGCTCATTGTATGTGTGTATTGATGTCAATTGTCTTCCTGTATAGTTTTCAACTTTTTTTTCCTAGACTAAGTTTCTCTGTGTAGCACTGGCCATCCGGGAACTCCTCGATCTGTGTCCTGTGGACCAGAGAGTGGCCTTGAACTCGGAAGGATTAAGGGAATATGCTACTGCTCCCAGAACTTTTTTTTTTTTTTTTTTTTTTTGGTTTTTTGAGACAGGGTTTCTCTGTAGCTTTGGAGGCTGTCCTGGAACTAGCTCTTGTAGACCAGGCTGGCTTGGAACTCATAGAGATCTGCCTGCCCGAGTGCCCCACCACCGCCTGGCTGGAACTTTTCTTTTTTTAATGTTCATGTATATGTCACCTGCATGTAAGTGTTCTCAGAAGCCAGAAGAGGGCGTTGGACCTCCTGGAGCTGGAGTTGCAGGTGATGGTGAGCTGCCAGATGTGGGTGCTGAGAAACAAACTCGGATCCTCTACAAAAACAGGAAGCCCTCTTAATGGATGAACCAACACTCCAAGCTAACATTTACATACACCGCCAGCTATTTAACAATATTTACATGTAACTATGGGGAGATGGAATGCCCATGGCCATACATTAAAACACAATGTCTTTCTTCAGGGTTTTCAGCTGTTCCGAGTTGATTTTCAGTTTTGTTACAATGTATTTGTGCTATGATGAAAGAAAGAAAAAGTCATGTATGGGGTTGTGCACACCTGTGATCCTAGCACTTGCAATACCAGGTCAGGTCAGCCTCTGCTACGTAGCAAGTTTGAAAGCAGCCTGGGATCCACGAGACCCTCGAGAGGGCGTAGAGAGGGGCATGTAGAAAAAAGGAAGAAGCAGGCTGGAGATATTTACTTGGCATGTAGGAAGCCCTGGGTTCCATTCCCAGTACTCCGATAAAATAAACTACAATACAGCAGAGCACAGTACACAGTGGGAGGAGAGGGACACAGGTGTCTGCCTTGGATGCACAGCGCGTCTTGCTGCTGTGATGTTTGAGTGTGCCTGGAGAATCAAGATCCTTGTAAAGGGTTAGGAGTCTTCCAGAGATTTAACTGGATCCCAGAGAACCCAAGAATCCCTTCCCACCCTATATGAATTAGAGACTGACTTTTCCCCCTGCTTCTGGGAGCCTTTGCTGATTTCACAGGGCCCTTTCCTCTGCTTCCTACTGGTTTCTCAGGCAGGATAGAACTCCAGTGATCAGGCTGGGCCTTTCTGCCCACGTAGTTCCGGTCACACTCCTGAGATGACACCCTAAGCATCTTGACCAAATGTGGGTGTTCCCCATTCCAGCCACCCACGGGGACAAGGCATCTTTGGAGGAATGTCTCTGCCACAGCTGACTCTTTGCCTTTGCAGCCCATGAGTCACTCTGGTTTCAACCCATCTTCTCATCTCTAGGTTGTAAGGACACCTCCCTGACACTCCTTCATTTTATAGTAACAGTGAATAAAAGCTACTATGTATTGCTGGTGCTCATGCACCAAACAGCACAAAAGGTGTGGGCTCTTTTAGGCCCCACTGCACATGGGAAGCAGGTATTTGCATCCCTGTCTTACAGATGAAGAGTGGTTGACTCAGCCACAGATACGTCGTCACCCAAGTCCGGGCACTTGAACACAAGACACTGGACAACCCATGGGTCCAGCCCCCCTCACTTTTATATCCTCTCTTCCATATTTTGAACAGGGTCTCACTATGTAGCACAAGCTGGCCTTGAACTTAGATTTTATGTTGGTAGCTCTGGGAATTCAACACATGGTCTCCACCACTGAACTACATTCCCAGCCCTCTTACATTTTTTTTTTGAGACATGGTCTCCATATGTTGCCCAGGCTGGCCTCCATTTTTTTGGTTTTTCGAGACAGGGTTTCTCTGTGGCTTTGGAGGCTGTCCTGGAACTCACTTTGTAGACCAGGCTGGCCTCGAACTCACAGAGATCCGCCTGCCTCTGCCTCCCAAGTGCTGAGATTAAAGGCGTGGGCCACCAACGCCCGGCCTTTTTTTTTTTTTGGCTTTTTGAGACAGGGTTTCTCTGTGGCTTTGGAGGCTGTCCTGGAACTCGATCTGTAGACCAGGCTGGCCTCGAACTCACAGAGATCTGCCTGCCTCTGCCTGTTTCCCCATTGCTGGGATTAAAGGTGTGTGCACCACAGTCAGGCCTCTCTCTTTAAACAGGAACTTTCTTTCTTTTTTTGTTTGTTTGTTTTTTGAGACAGGGTTTCTCTGCCCGGCTTAAACAGAACTTTCTATGCAGACCAGGCTGGCCTCAAACTCACAAGATCCACATTCTGCCAGTGTTGGGGTTAAAGGTGTGTACAATCATCATGCCTGACTTCAGTTACCTCCATTTTTATAAGGCAGGAAACTGGGCTACATTATTTACTAAGCATATTAGTCACTTAAGTTGAGGAAGCTGGCAAGTGAATAGGATAAACTTTGGACATTTCCCTGGCACTAACCCTGTCCTCTGCTTGTGGCAACAGCCATCCTCATTCCCCGGCATGTACTCTATATTGTGGCAAGTGCTTGAATTCTCTCTCTCTCTCTCTGTCTCTCTGTCTCTCTTTCTTTCTTTTTTTGTGGACAGGACTCCTCTATATAATCCTGGCTGGTTTGTAACTCTTACGGAGACCAGGATGCCTCAAAGTCAGAGACCCACCTGCCTCTGCTTCTGTTTCTCCAGTGCTGGAACTAAAGGCATGTATCACCAGGCCTGGCTGCTGAACTGAAGAGTTCCTAGAATTTAGAATGTCCCTTTTGTTGCAGAGAAATTGTTACCCCCAGGCCTTTTTGTGGTGGTTTTGAGATAGGGTCTCTGTGTAGCCCTGGCTGTCCAGGAAGCATGTATACCACCGGGTTGCTTTACGCTCACAGATCCGCCTGCTTCTGTCACCCAAGCGCTCCAGCAAAAGCCATCACACGTGCCCCGTCCCATGCTTCTGACTGGTGTAACCCCACTTATGTAGACGCCACCTTCGCTGACCACCCTTGTCTTCTGAGGTGCTCCTACACTGTACTCTCAATGTTGGCTGTCCCTAACCCCATGCCTTTTCATTTTTTTAAGGAGGGATATTATGTAGCCCAGCCTGGAACTGGCTACATAGCTTGGGCCGGCCTTTTACTTCTGATCTTCCTGTGTCTACCTTCCAGACTCTGAGATTATAATAGTACACAATTGAGTCTCTTTTTAGTTTTGTTGAAATAAGGTCTTGCTATAATGGTCCTGGCTCTCCTGGTATTTAATATGGAGCCTATGCTGGCCTTAAACTCCTGACTTTCCTCTGCCTCAGCTTCCCAAGTGCTGGGACTACAAGTATCCACCATGGCACCCAGCTCTGAGGCCCAGTTTTCTTCTGCTCCTTTACCAGTCTGCAAAGCCAGAGAACAAGGAGCAGGACTGGCTGGTGGTTAAGTCTTCAGCCCCACGCTGGGGGGCTGGCACAGAGCAGGTACATGGTGAGCAGAGCTGAATGAATACTCTTAGATATCACTTTGTCTCTCTTTTTGTAAGGCTTGGGTGTTCTGAAGAGGCGCAGGTAATGACAGAACTGCCGCTTCCTGCATTCCCAACTAAAAGGGTGAACTGGGAAGCAGCTGGGGTCACTGGAGAGGCCCAATGTGCTGAGCCTGAAATCATGGGGTCGTTCTTGCTGAACCAAACTCTCTCTGGCTTCTGTTTTCTCACTCCTTGCCAGAAATAAATCATGTTCTGAGTGACTGGAGTCATTGCTCACAGCTCCGTGAGCTGGTGTAGGGTGGGGCGAGGGGCAGTGGCCTTGGGGCTCCTGTCAGTAAAGGCCCAGGCCTTTGGGCTGGGGGGAGGGGAAGGAGTGGCTGGTCCTATCCCTGGGAGGCTGCAGTCATTGGGGGACAGACAATGGGGCTCAGCGTCTGCTCCTAGCTGGGAGAAGGGACCCTCCAGTGAAAAGCCAGGGAGAGCAGGGAAGTGTGGGAGGAATTGATGAGAAGGGGTGGAGCCAAGGAGATGCAGCCGGGAGGAAGGAGGGAAGGGGAAGGAAGAGCGCAGGGAGGGGAGAGGATCCAGGCTTCCCTTCTGCTCGGTGACCTGGTCCGGAGCCGCAGCTTCCCTGGCTTTGTCTGGGCCCGCCGGGACCTCACGTTTCTCGCCCAGCTGCAGCCCCAGTCCAAGGGCCAGGCATCCAGCAGGTGCTCAATACTTACTTGGGAAAATAAGAAATGTGGCCAACTTTGCTCTGGGAACTTTTCCCCCGTGTTGTCTCCACTCCTCCGGAGAAGCCGAGGACAGAGCTGGTCTTGGGAGCACGCCCAGGCGCCCCATGAATAATTGACCCTTGGTGGCGACACTGCCCGGCTCTGTCCGCGGGCTCGGTACCCGCCCTGCGTCGGAGTCGAGCGGCGCAGCTGAGTGGCCGGTGTCCGGGAGGTTGGAGGCGGGGTGTCCGGCCTGTCCCAGAGCTGGGAGGAGGCCAGGCTAAGCTGAACCCCGGGCCCCGCAGGGAGCCAGCAAGGGCCCAGACCTCAGCTAACGACCACGCCTCGGCGCCCCCCAGCCGTGCACCCCGGGCCGAATCCATGCCCTGGGCTTGGGGAGGCCGTGAGGGGCTGAACTCTTCTGGACCCCTTGGCACCCGGGTCCCGGCGATCGCAGCCGGAGCTGTTCCCTCCAGTCTGACCGTCCAGGGCTCTAAACAGCTGTTTAAAGGCGCTTCACTGTTAAGGGCTCTGCGGCGACGTTTGCTCCAAGCCCATCTGCCCACTTAAAAAATATTAAGTGAAGAGCACCCCCCTCAGCTTCCACCCCTGACGGGGGAGGGGGCGAACTCAAGAGCCTCTATCCGTATTTTGGAAGGACTGGGCACCCAGGGGCCTCCCCGGACGCCCATCCCAGGGGCTCTTCTTTGGGATAGGACACCCCAGGCTTCCGGGGGGGGGCTGTTCTCTCGGGCCCCCTTTGTGCCTGACAGGGACAGCCCCCCATTTCCATGCGAGGCTCTGACGCTCCCTTCTCCCCCGCTTGTTAATCTTTGTTCCCCTTTTCTGCTGAGAGGAGGAGAAAAAAAAGAGGGAGAAAGAAAAGAAGGAAAAAGGCGTGACTCGATTTTCAAACGAAACTCCCACAGCAAACAAAACCCTTTTAGAGAAATAAGAAAGGAGGAAGGAGGAAGAAAACAGGAAAGGGGAAGAAAAAAAGAGAGAAGCCTTCAGGCTTGCAATTCGAGTAGGAGAGTTGCACCGAAAGAAAGAGAAAGAAAAAAAAAAGAAAAATCCTCTCTGCGGTAGAAAGAGAAAAAGAAAACTTGGGCCGACTGGAGGGGGGTGCTGGGGGGGTGGAAGGAAGTGAGAAAACAAAAGAGAGATAAAAGGGCTGCTTTTCTCTCTTCCTCTGCGAGCTGGCTTAGGAGGAGCTGTTTAGCATCCCTTCACGTCAGCCCTGCCTCATTCCCTTCTTCCAGGGAGGGAGAGAGCGCGAGCGAGCGCGAGAGAGAGCAGGAGGGAGAGAGAGAGGGGGGAGAGAGAAAGAGAGGAGCCGGAGGGAGGGTGGCAGAGCAGGGCGGGCGCGCGTGGAGGCGGCGCGCAGCAGCAACCCGGGCGGTGGGCAGCAGGAGCCCCCGGCCCGGCCAGCCGAGGGCCCCCAGCGCCAGGAGCCGCGCCCGGACCCAGGGTGAGTGTCCCGCGCGGCCCACGGCCCCGCCAGCCCCCCGGCGGCCCGCGGCGGGGTGGCTGGGGGCGCGGGGGTGGGTCGCAGCGGCCGCGGTCGACCCGCCCCCCGCCTCTCCCCGGGGACGGCGGCGCGCAGGCCCGCAGCCGCGCTGCAAACATGTCGTCTTTTCCTTTCACTTCCACATTCCCTCATGCCGGAGAGCTGGAGCGAGAGAGGGAGAGCTGGGGAAAGAGGGAGAGATGGCGTCTGGAGGGGGGGGAGGGAGAGGGGGAAGGGAAGAAGAGAGAGGGAGGAGAGCGCGCGGAGAGAGAGAGAAGCAGAGGCAGAGAGAGAGAGAGAGAGAGAGAGAGAGAGAGAGAGAGAGAGAGAGAGAGAGAGAGAGAGAGAGAGAGAGAGAGAGAGGCAAAATGAAAGGAAAGCGCGGCGGCGCAGGAGGCCGGGGAGGCGGCGGCGGTCTCCGGCCCGCACGTGGGTGTCGCGGCGCTCGGGGACGCTCCCCCCGCACCCGGTCCGGGACTCAAAGTTTCACCCCTCGCCGCCCCGCCCCTGCGGCTGCCCACAAACTTTTTACTCCGGGAGCGGGTGGGGTGGCCGCGCGGCCGGGCCAGCGGGGTGGCGAGGGCGCAGCGCGCTGCTGGGGTGCCGGGCGCCCCTCGAGGTCAGCGGGCGTCTCCAGCCGGGTGCCGCGGGCCCTGGGCCCCCCTCGGTGGCCCCGGCTCCGACCTGTTGAAGGCGCTCGCCGGGTGCAGGGAAAGGGTGGGCAGATCCCCATGGCTGGTCTAGAGCCTCCCGTGGCTCGTTCTCCCTTCCTCGCCGCCCCCCTCCCTCTCCTCGCGGTCATTTTCCTAATTGGATGGAGTTATGGGGCGTGATCGTCGGCGTCAGATCGAGGAGCCCCCTGAATCCGGTGGTCTTCCCTCCCTGACTCTCAGACCCCACTGAACCGGCCTCGGTGTTACCCCCACCCCGAGCTGCGGACTTGCTAACTCGTGCGTAGCGGGTTGCCGGTTTTTGTGTGTGTGTGTGTTTTTTTCAACTTGGCTTTTAAGATGACTTTTATGGTCCCTGCAACTGCTTCCCTCCAGTCTAAACTGTAGTTTGGGAAGATTTAAGAGGACAGGGAGGTGCTTGTGTGGCCTTTAACTAATCCAAAACGGTCATTAAATGTATCTGTACGCCCCGCGAGATGGTTCCGGCCGGGCCAAGCAGTAGCCTGGGTGTGTTTTCACCCGGACACTGCGGAGTTCCTTCACGGTCTTGGCCGGCATGCCAGTGAGGGGACACTTGACCCGTGAGCCCAGTGCCCTACCTTCGAAGGGCACCCTGGGCGTCTTTCTTTCCTTTCACAATGGAAACTGTCAGCCACTGTCCACCTGAAGACGTAACTAGTCCTTGTGGGTACCTCGGAAGCTCACAAAACTCCCCCACAGGTGTGCGGAGGACTTTGTGCTGTTGGGGGTCATCCAGCCAGCTTTGACGCTGCCCTCTCGGCTTTGCCTTTGTACATGTGCAAGTAAAAGCAGTCAAAGTTCATTTCTGTCAAAGAGAAGAGCTGCTGTGTGGGAACGGGACGGGGGAGGGCTTGTAGCACCTTACTAGGGCCCTTCAAAGGTTCAGGGAGCTGGCGTGGGAAGGGGGAGGGTGGTCATTCACCGTCTTTAGGGTTAAAGTGTATTGCTATCAAAGCTGATGGGCCAGTCTGGTTTTTATTTTGAGAGGTAGTGTGACCACCACGTTTTCACTTGTTTCAAAGCAGATTTACCTTTGAGAGCTTTGCTTAGTGGTTCTGCCTGCTCCCCTCTCATCCCACACGTAACCCTGAGCCAGGCACCTGCTGTTCTCGGAGCACAACCTTGAGATGATAACTTACCTTGCAGAGCTGGCTTTGCTGCCCGAGGGCACTGGGTAGAGAGCTTGGGGTAGGGGGAGTGGACAGTTGGATCCTATTTTCTTCCTCTAGTCTGGTCTGGTTTCTTGCATGAGCATGTGCCAAGAGTTTCAGGGAGTTGACACGGGGACAGACTGTCTTGTAGAGTGTCTTCTTTAAGCTGTTCTGAGCTGACCCTTGGTCCCACAGTGTATGAGGCATTTGTTTGGTGCTCGGGTCCCTGCTGTCACTACCAGGCATTTTATTTTAGGCCCTCTATCTAGAGACAAGGAGACAGACAAGGTCTACAATATCTTTTGGGTTAGAGGAAATAGTAATGGCGGTCACCAGAGATTTTTGTATGGCTTCTGGTTTAGGTTTACCTTGTGGCCTAGAGATGTTTCTAGCAAGCCTGCTCTTGGGAAGTAGCTAACAACTATTCCCTTCTCTTGAGACCCCATCTCACTCCCTAGCCCAGACCGGCCTTGAACTGGTGATCCTCTGGTCTTAAAGTGCTGAGACTACAGGCATGTGCCACCCTGCATGGCTCTGGCAGAGTTTCTTTCCAGAAGGGAATAGTTACCTGTAGATAACCCCCTGTGGGGTTTGCATATCAGATGTTTACATTACGACAAGGTTTCTCTGTCTAACACTTCTGGGTGTCCTGGAACTCGCTCTGTAGAGCAGGCTGGCCTTGAACTCACTGAGATCCGCCCGCCTTTGCCTCCCAGGTGCTGGGATTAAAGGCGTGCACCGCCACCGCCCAAGGTACATTCTTAACAGTAGCAAAATGACAGTTACGAAGTAGCAACAAAACAATCTTATGGCCAGGGGTCACCACAACCTGAGGGACTGTTAAGGGGCTGCAGTATTAGGGAGGTTGAGAACCACTGGAACATCTAGAAAACTAAAAGGAAGAGTCCATTGCCTCTCAGAGGAAAAGGCGAAACAGTGCTTACTCCCCCACACCGGAGTGATGCTTGGTGCAGTTCCCTCCTTGGGCGTGATTACCCACAGGTCCTTCATGCCTTCCCAGGGCTTGGCCCCAAGCAGGTTACTCAGTATGCAGAAGGGAGGGTTCTGCATCTTCGAGGTCTCTGCTAAGGACTTCACAGCTAGGGGATCTTAGATACTGTTCAAGAACGGCCATGGCAGGAAGAGCGCCCCACTACCTAACAGTCAACAGTGGGGCAGTCACTCAAACCTGAGGCCCTGGGAACTATTTCCAGCACTTTCTACAAGGCCTCACCTCTACTGCTGCTACGACTTCCCGGCCACACATAGTTGGAAGAACATGGCAGCGAAGACTTGAAACCGTGGGCTTGTAGCGCATGTACAGGCTGAGGGAACATCACCTTGTTTTCTAGGTATGCTGTACATGCTGCTCTGGCGGACCGGGCAGGCCAGGGCAATTATCGGGAGAGCTTGCTATTTTAACACCAATCTCTTTAAAGCCTAGCAGTTCAGCAGGGTAGAAGTTTAGTCATCAGGATGTTCCTAAATTACCAGGTTTTGATCTGGAATACTTTCTTCATACTTTGTACTCGTGTGTGGTTTATTTAGGGTTGACTAGAGGGGAAGAATGGGGACAGAAGGAAGGGCCTCAGCCAGCTCATCTCCATTCAGCGTTTAGATCTGCTGGAATGTCTGTTTAGCGGGCCAGAGAGCTTGGCTATATATGGATTTTCGCCTACCAACCTATTTATCCTGTATTTATTTATTGCTTATTTGCTTTGTCCATCGCTAAGCCCCTTTAAGACTAACATATAGTTGGCCTTTTCGTAAATACTTGTTGAATGATGTACTGGACATTAGTAAAAGCATTTCCCTCCCAGGAGGAGTCCAGAAATGACACACAGAGGCAGGGACAGGGAGGTGATTGATGGGAGCTGCCGAGTTGTGCTGTGATTCATTGTTTCCAACAGGCTCCAGACAGGTAAAGCAGGAGGGGGTTGGGAAGAGTGGATCCTGAATGGGTGGAGCCACAGGGTGGAGACTTGTGCAAAACAATAGAGAGGTTTTGAATTGGACTCAGACACTGGGAGAATAATATAGTCAGGTGTTCCAGGCCAGGATTATACTAAAGTATTTATGTATCATCTCCCATGGTCCTTGCAGGTGCTGGCAGACACATTACTATTCTCATTTGGTAGCCTGGGAAACAGCCCAGAGGAGTCAAGTCACTTGTCCAGGGGCGCAGAGCTGGTGTCTGAGCCCAGGCAGACTGACTTCTGACTTTGCTTCCCTGTGGTAACGATGTGTGGCCAGGTCTCTACTCATGCAAAGTCTTCAGCTTTGGGTTCTTCTGAAAAGATATTGGAGAGAAGCTGAGTCTGCAGCAGCGGGAGGGTCCTTACACTGCCTGGTGAGGGTTCAGCCAGTCAGGATGAAAGGGTATTCTTAATTTCCAGGATCTAGTTGTTCCCCAGTAGCAGTACCACACTGAGACTACTTTTGTACTTGACAAGAATGTAGGATGCATGCACACACGTGAACACAGGTGATGCCTGAATTGAATCCAGGATTTTGCACATGTGCCATACCACTGAGCTACACCTCTACCCGATTGGAATATATTTACACTGGTGAGAATTTTAAAGCTTAGGAAGGTACTGTTGAGGGCAGGGGAAATGGCTCAGGCCGTAAAGTGCTTGCCTTGCAAGCAGCAGGATCAAGGTTAGATGATCAGCACCCGCATGAAATCCATAGTACACTTGTAACTGTAGGATTGGAGAGATGGGGACGGGAGTTTCTGGGGCTCACCAGCTGGCCAGCCTAACTAATCCAGGAGACCTTATGTCAAACACAACGTGGATGACT